AATTGTGTATTTTATTTAAGTATAATGTTAATACAAACATTGAGAATAGAAATGTATATGTGATTGGTTAATAGCTAGCTGTTATTGTTTTTATTTTAATGTATGTAAAAGATAAGTAAAGACTAGTTGACCCATTGGTTCAAGATTGATTGACCAGTACAGGATAGTAGGTCGACGGACTTTCTTTTAAATATTGTGGTTGAGTGTTATCATCTACTACTTCATGTGATACAACAATACAATGATTGAGAGTTATAATGAATTATTATTGTGCTAACGAGCAAAGTGTGATGACTCTGTTTACTGAGCCAACAGTTCCCGACTACATATTATTGATACTCATGAAAATCATTGCTTAAGACAAAACTTCATACTTGTTTAAGTATGATCACAAAAATACATCTTATAAATTCATTATTATTGTATAGCTTTATTGATATTGTATTTATTTACTATCACTATACATATTTATTGTTACTGTTATTAGTTTTACTCAAGACATAGACATCGATATTGTTTTATATTACTATTGATTCATTATTACTGTTACTGTGATTGATTCATTGTACTAATACTAAGCATGTGACATACTAAGCATGTGATATACTGAGCATGTAATTAAGATATTGATATAGAATAATTGGATAGAATGTGTACATTATTATAAGATTTTATTAGATTGATATGATTCCGATAGTTTTTATCGATGCTTTAATTTCACAACTTTATATGATTTTTTACTAGATAATAGTGCTAATATGATGACTATTTTATCGATTCGAGACCAGTATTGATTTACTGATTCCCCCACTATATATATTGTTTTACTAGCTTTAATTCATTATTATTGTATAGCTTTATTGATATTGTATTTATTTACTATCACTATACATATTTATTGTTACTATTATTAGTTTTACTCAAGACATAGACATCGATATTGTTTTATATTACTATTGATTCATTATTACTGTTACTGTGATTGATTCATTGTACTAATACTAAGCATGTGACATACTAAGCATGTGATATACTGAGCATGTAATTAAGATATTGATATAGAATAATTGGATAGAATGTGTACATTATTATAAGATTTTATTAGATTGATATGATTTGGTACAACTAGGTATTATTTGATATTAACGAGAAATACCGCTCTTTGAAGACCAATACCGAGTTATACCGAGCTGTACCGAGAAATACCGAGTTGTATCGAGTTTTTCTAGGAAAAACTCGGTACAACTTTTGTATAACTCGGTATTTCTCGATTTAGATCGGTATAACTCGGTATTGAGTCTTCAAAATGATGGTATTCCTCGTTATTGTTTGGTATTGCTCGGTATTTGCTCGGTAAAACTCATTTTTTAGAGGGATTTGGTCTCTGACCGGACGTTCCTCTGCGTCCGATCGGAGGACGTAATAATTGTTCCACTCTTTGACCCCTTAATGGATTATTTTACAAAGACAATGCCACTAAAGAATTGTTGATCAATAGTTAGTCTAGAAATTTTTTAAAAAACGTATTTTGAGAAAAAAAATTCTAAAATTTTTAAAAAGAACCTTCACATTAAAGAGAGCATGCAAAACATTTTTTTGATCAATTTTGATGAATATAAATCATTAAAAAATCTCAAAGTCTATAGTCAGCAAATAGACATTTTTTATAAAGTTATGGTTTTAAAATTTTTTTATCAAATGATAATATTTTTGCATGAAAATTTCATAGAGGCAGCTCGTGATGTGTAAAAAAAAAAAGTCCAGCAAAACGTAGCCCTCCTTGATCTAATGGTTGGGAGCTTTAGCTATCAACTAAAAAATCTTGAGTTCAAATCTTGCGTATATAATGTGTTTGTGAGTTTGTCTTAGTTGGTCAAAATGCCCCCAAAAAATTCCAGCAAAAATAATAATAAATAGGGAAAAAGAATCATCAAAATTGTTAAAACTTGAAAGGAACCTTTTTTCCATCACTTTTGCACCAACTCGTGGATTACAAACACAACACCACCCTAAGGTTTTATTTGGAATGACTTTCTTACTACTTTATAAAGTTATTGTAGATAAAGTAACTGTTTAAAACTATTGTAAAAAATAGCTTTCCTAGGTAAAAAAAATTTTGAAAGAATCGAAAAAACAGTAGCTAAATATAGATTGTGATAGTGAAAAACGAAAAACAAAAAGTAAGAAAAAAACTATCCCAAACAAAATCTAAATCTGCTTCTCATCAAATGCCAAAATTGGAAGTGATAAACTTATTTTCAAAAGAAATTTCCTAGTTTCATAATGGAGCAAAAAACACACCACCTTGGTTCAAATATGTCATTGAATAAAAATGATAAAGCTCAATCATTGCTCACAATTATTGCTCTTATAAGATAATCTTAACATCTTTTAACAGAAGAAATAAAATTTTGGGGAGAAAATTTGTGATCTTTTTATAACTTTTTTGGGGGAAGGAGTTATTGGATTTAGATGAGGGGACAAAGAGAAGGAAGGAATTCAAGATTTTTTTTTTTCTTGAAACATTTGATCAATTTCCTTTAGTTTAGTGGACTTTATATGTAACAAGAGAAAAATTCAATAGCATATGCATTTTCACTATGAAGGAAAAAGTTGTACTAAGAGATCTCTCATTAATGCTCTTGACTAAGAGATCTCTCATTAATGCTCTTGATAAAGTTGCAAAGGTTTCATTTGAAATAATTTTTTAATACTTTTTAAAGCAGCTTTCTTCATTTTGGACTACTTATTTATCACTTTTTGAAGTAATTTTTTAGTTAAAAAAATTTTGTGCTAAAAATTTCCTTTAAAAAATAATAAGAAAGCTATTGTAAACGAGGCCTAAGGCTTGATTTATGACAACTTTCTTAATGCTTTCTAAATAATTTTTTAATTCAAAAATATCTTAAAATAAATTTTTTTATACCAAAAATCATTTTTAAAAAGCAGTAAATAAAATCTAAGGCTTTATTTGGGATGACTTTTTTACTATTTTTTCAAGCAACTTTCTTGTACAAAAATTTTAATTTTAATATTAAAAAATTAATTCAAAAAACAATAAAATTTTTATACTAAAACTTAGTTTTAAGAAAAAATAAAAAAGCCATACTAAAGAAAGCCTAAGCCTGTACTTTCATGGTTTAAAAAGTGTAAATAGAAAAAGCAAGTTTATTTCACATCATGTCAAGTGGGATTTTGTTAAATAATATAATTAATATTTAACAAGATTTAGTGCAACTTGTGCAGAACCAGATCTGCAATAATGGTACAGAGTTCGCTTTCTATTATAAGAAATGAACCAATCAGTTTACTGCTTTTAAATAGGAAAGGAGGTTCATAATCTATAAAAGAGGTCTTCACATGCATGAGGGACACATTTCTCGGTTTTCTAAACCTTTGATGTAAGTTGTAATTTTTAATTGATAACAATGAAGACTAAGATTTCATATGAGATCTTTTTTCTACTGCTTTTTCTGAAACAGTTTTTTCATATAAAAAATTCTTTTTCAAAAAAAACTTCTTTAAAACGCTATAAAAACATAGCTCATCTTGGTCTGTTGGTTGAGAGTTTATGCTTTCAACTAAGAGGTCATAGTTCGAGTCTTTGTATATGCGTTGTGTGTGTGAGTTTGCCTTAAATGGCCTAAATGTCCCAAAAAAAAAAAAACGCTATAAAAAAATTATCTCAAATGAAGTGAAAGATTTACATCAATTTTTTTATGCTTTCTAAAACAACTTTATAATAAAAAATAATAGTAAAAACAATAGAAAAAATTATCCAGAATGAAATCTAAGGCTTCGTTTGGAAAGGCTTTCTTTTTCCTTTTTAAAGTAACATTTTAATACAAAATTTTAAAAAAATTTGTATTACAAAGCCGCTTTAAGAAGCAGAAACAAAAATCATCTCAAATGAAGCCTAAATTGAGTTCTAAATGAAAAGCAATTAGAGAATCCTAATAAATAATTACAGGCCAAATTCTATATGAAATTTCACTATAGATAGACTAATTTGCCTGAATATAATGAACTTTTATTAGGTCCGGTGTAAGGACGTAGAGGAACGTCCGGTCGGAGGCAAAATCCCGCCAAAAAACTCGGTATTTGCTCGGTATTGCTAGGTATTATTTGATAATAACGAGGAATACTACTCTGTGAAGACCAATACCGAGTTATACCGAGCAATATCGAGTTGTACCGAGTTTTTTCTAGGAAAAACTCGGTACAACTTTTGTATAACTCGGTATAGCTCGGTATAACTCGGTATTGGGTCTTCACATGATGGTATTCCTCGTTATTGTTTGGTATTGCTCGGTATTTCTCATTTTTTGACGCAATTTGGCCTCCGATCAAACGTTCCTCTACGTCCGGTCGGATGACGTAATAATTGTTTGAATATAATAGGCCTGTGAAACAACAAGAAAACAAGTACACATTTCACCATGTAAATATATTTGAAAATCATATAAAAGTGAATGTCTATTACTTGAAATAAAAAAAATAAAAATAAAAAAGCTTGTTACACTGCCAAAAACAAATAATATACAATCCAAATGCAATATTCAAAATTTTAAAATATTTTCAAAATTCAAACAATGATTATTTAAACCTCCAATGGTACTGATCATAATAGCCATGACAATGATGAAGACAACCACTGCAGTTCTGATTACATCATTATCCTTTCATGGAACTTTCACCATTTAAAGCTCCTATTAAAGAAGCCTAGCTTTATTCTTAAAAGCTCGATCATTATAAAAGCACCTTGGCCACTCCACTGTTCTAATATTGTCCATTAATAGCTCCATAATCAAATGAATGGATAAACAAACAAGACATATTTCCAGTCTAAGGCTTCATTTGGGATGACTTTCTTATCGTTTTTTAAAACAGTTTTTTAAATTTTTGTACTAAAAAATTATTTTAGAAAGCAAAGAGAAAGCCGTCAAGGCTTTATTGGCTATTTTAAGAAGCAACGAAAAAGCCGTCCCAAACTAAGGCACTCAAATCTCCTAGAGTTGCAAAAAGGAATAGCATAGAGCAACCTCCAAAAATATTAATTTTTCACAGCCACAAAGCAATTAACCCCTACACACAAGCTAAAAATTCTTTCTGTTTACCAGCGAGTCTTTGGAGGGTTCACCAGTCCAGTAGCTCTTGACTGCAATCAGGATCTTCTCAGGATTGAAGGGCCCAGTTTCATGATCCATGATCTTACTGTTCCACCTCATCCCTTTTATGATATCCTGTACCTTCACCAAGACCTCCACAGTGTCTCTGAACACTACTGTGCCTTCTGGCCTTAGTATTCTGTCCATCTCCAGGAGAATGTATGTTATATCACACCTGCAAGTTCTTAAAGTGAGACTAATCCTTTCATGAATGTTAAACATAAATAAAATTTAAGTTGACACCACTCTGATATGTAGATCAAATAATCAGATTACATAAATCAACCCCCGCTATGCCTGTAATTTTATCCTAAACAATGATGCACGATGTTATGAAGAAATCTTAGTTATCACAATAGGTCAGGTATGAAGTGAGATAGGTGCATTTCTCTCACATCTTAACTTGGATCTTGTCAACACTTTACTTAAGAATTTTTAAGTTTATTTCTTTCGCACGCACAATAAATTTATCTTCGTAGGCCACTTGTTGTGTCTTCCTTGAGAGAGATTATTACGTACAGAGTCTGGATGCAAGATGCGTCTGGATTTTGTGAGAGTACACAACAAATACATAGTTTTATAAAACAACGTATTTATTGTGTATCCTCATAAATCCGGATAGTCCAAACTCCGCACGTAATAAATTCTCCTTTCTTGGATACTCCCGTGATCAAAATGGTCCTCTTACCAAACCTAGGTATACTTCCGTAGACATTACCTTTTCTAAAGAGCCTTCTTAACATGATCCTATTTCACTACCATCTATTCCTCTTCCCCCTTAGTCATCCCTACCTTTGCTTCTTTATAGCTGTACTCAATAAGGCCTTGAAAATCACCTTCTAGAATAGTTAAGCCATTGTCGACTTTGGTTGAGCATTCTTATAAGATTGAGTGTTCAGATCAAAATATTTTCATTGGAGATATGTGATCGAGCTTTGATAGAACATATTTAGAAGCACTATAAAACACTTTTGCAAAATGGATTATGCATGCAGAGATGAATGTTCTTCTTAGTTGACCTACACGGGAATTGGTTTCCCCTTCCTCTGGGTTCAAGCCTATTGCTTGAACATAGGTTTTCACTATCATATTTGACCTAATAACTCCATTAATCGATATAAAGCTCGGTTGATTGATAAAGATTTTACTCAGGCCTATAAGATAAATTATTTTGATACTTTCTATCCTGTCGCTAATGTTAACTCCCTATAAATTATGATCTCCATGGTCATCAATCAAGGGTATCCAGCTTAAGGGGGAGTGTTAGGATATGATGCTTGTAAGGAAAGAGTTGTATTAGGATAATGTAATTAGAATCATCAAATCATATGCTCTCCTCATAACAAGTAAACTCTCATCGAACTCTATATTTTCTCTTGACACACGAGTTAATTAAACTATTGAAATTAAGCAAAAGAGGCCTCTGAATAAATATTTCAATTTTCCCACACATTGTGGCCATGTTTCATGCACTTTCTTAATAATCCAGTATGTTTAAGCTACCACATAGCTGTTATGCTGCATTATGCAATGAGAAGGAGAGCACTACAGGATATTCAACAAAGGAAGTATTGCTTGAATTTCCTTGTTTTCCCTTGTTCGTATCATTTGAAAATGAATTTTGGATTCGAAGAGAATGACCAAATTTTTACTAAACTCTACAAAAGTATAAAGCACTTGGTACTTTTAACGGGATTTGATAATATTGCTCTCTATCTCCATCTTCAAGGAAGTGCATGGTACCACGACATTATAAGATGATTTTTTTTTTTTTTTAAGTAGCTATGATGCAAATACAAAATAAAAGTGTTAAAAATGTAATTTCCTAGCTCACCTGTCCTGGTATATGCTGAAGACACCATCAGCATGGATGAAATCGTAAGTTCTTGGATATGTTGAAAATGCCTCACACCAATCCTGATATGTGCCGATAAATCCTCGCTCATAGATTACACCAAGTGTATCGTGATCAGAATTCACAGGAACAACATTCATCACCCAAACTTGGAACTTCTCCATTGCTGCAGCAAAGCCTCCAAGGTTGGCATTCATGTCCATCACATTTCGATATCGTCCATGGCTTAGAGTTGGGATAATTTTCTTATAATATGTCACCCTCTCCTTCCACAGTTTGTTGTCCTCCTCAAATTTCTCTGGAGTGATACCAGGGATTGTTTCCCTGCTTACTCTTGGCGGCACAGCAAATGCCCTATCCGGCCACTTCCGCAACTCTCCCCCAGCCACTCCATCATCATTGTTCACTTCAGGCAATGGAGTTATGCATGTCTCCATTTTCTTGTACCTGTTGAGGAGATTACTTGTCATGTCAATTTGAAATAAACATGAAATGCATAAGAAAAGTTTGCTTACCAGGCAACATCAGCATTGTCATTCTTGCAGATGTGGGGTGTTTTATAAATCTCTCTTGACTTGATACATTCATTATGGTTAATGGGTTTCTGCCAAACAGAAAGATCTTCTTTCTCAATCACCTTCTTCCAGCATATACGCTTTGCAACCTCCTCGATTGCATCCTGCTCTTGCTTAAGATCTTCTTGAGTTCTTTCCCAGCCTTTGTAGTACTTCTTCCAATGAATAGGAGGACCAGAAAGAATCCAGTATCCTCCTGGCCGCAGAACTCTGTCTACCTCAATTAGATACAGACCATCTGTAGCAAAGAAAAAAAATTGTAAAATCCCACAACATAACATATATCCATGTTATATTTAGGCTTCATTTGGGACAGCTTTTTTAATGCTTCTCAAAGCAGCTTTCTAGTACAAAAATTTTTGTACTAGAAAGCTGCTTTGATAAGCAGTGAGAAAGACGTCCCAAACAAAGCCTTAATCTACCGTTTTCCCTTACTTTTCAACAGTAATGTTTATGTAGACATTTATGGGAGCATTTTCTACCTTTCACTGTATATTTCCAAAACAAATAAATTATATTTCACTACCATATCTTCAACAGATCTTACTGGTTTAATCTATTCTTACTGGCTTAGTCATATGTTCATCTTAATTATCATATATGTCATTCTCAGCTTAGCTATCAAGGACTTTCTATTATAGTAGAATCCATACAATATAGAAACCCTAGCATATCTATATTAAATAATAATTGAAAAAGAAACATTTCTTCCAAGTTTTCAAATAATAAATGTAAATTTGCAAGGAAACTTGCAATTCAAACAGCAACCTCAGAAACTTTTGAAAAAATTGTAAAAAAAAAACATTAGCATCATCTATATAAAACTGAACTTATTTCAACATAGATGGCAATGGATTTACTCACCAAGAGCTTTCCAAGGAATCAAGCAGCGAGAACAGTGAGCCATGTCAAAAGATCTTGCAGGATATGGAATCCTCATCGATGCCATTACACCGATCATGGCCGGAACTCCCCGTTCTAATGCAAACTGCACCTGGGCCTCGTGTGTATCCCTCGGAGCAAATGACATAGCTAAGATGTTCCTCTTCAGGAGATAAGCACCCCAGCTTGCGACCTACAAAAATTCAAAAAAAAAAAGAAGAAGAAATTCAGAAATCCGTTCACAGAGAATTTTCTCACAACTCAAAAAGGCCAGATCTTTACAAACTTACTCCACAACCAGTATCAATAGCAGTTCTAATGCTCCCATCAGTCAATGGAATGAGTTCATTGATATCATCAATATAAGCATCAGCCCCTCGAGGAAACATTGTACCGCCGCCAGGAAATCGGAAGCGGTCTCCCTCAACCTGAATCCAATTTTGAACTGCCTTCTCAATGCTCAGTTCCTTGTGAGGAATATTGTGGTACCAAGCAAAGTCTCTGCTCTGAGGCCATTTGAAAGGCGTTCGATACCCTGGAGGAGCTGGAATCAAGCACCGAACAAGCTCATCGTTGGCTGGGCAATGACGCTCTCTGTAAACAAGCATTTGTCTCGGGAATCTCCTCCCTCTGGTTGCGTCCTGGCAAGGAGTGTATTCGCTGAAGTTCATGGAACAAGATGGAAACTTTTCCATTAACGGCGAAGTATTCTTGATGTCAAGGTGGTGGTGAGCTTCGAAATCAAGTTTGGCATTAGAAGGTGAGGAGATTTGCTCGCCATGGCGGTTATTTTCCGGCAAGGAAACGCGGCTGGGGTCGTCGCATTCTACTTTGGAGACATCAGATAGGGTTGGTTTAAGTACGGATGAGTTCTGCCATGCGCCGAGGATATAGAAGATGACACAGAGGCCGCTCACTCCTAAAATCCAAGTGAGACGCAGCTTCCTTGATTCCGACTGATGGATCTTGGGAGATCCGGGGTAGTCCTTAGCCATTACACCTGTAAATATAAGAAGGAAGATTCAGAACAACAGATCAAGCAGATCAAAATGGGATTTTGAACACCAGAGACAGTGAAAGTGGCCGATATATTTTATCAAAGGTGAAGCAAGCTTAGGGTTACCATGAAAAAGAGGGCTTCTTGATTCTATGAAGAAAGTGCGTTCATTAATGTGAGAAAGCACCTGGATTCGATGGCGAAATGAATAAAACCAGTTATGAGATGCGAGGCTTTTTAATACAAAATGGTTATGAATGAACTTGGTCTTTGCCCTCTAAGAAAATGAAGGGATGAGGGAACTCGTTTAAAACTTGAAGCCATGGATGGATCTAGAATTACAAAGGCAGTAAATGATAAAAGCATTAAATGATAAAGCACTTTATTGCTTTACTAAATGCGCCATAATGATTCATGATGGACTGAAGAACAAGAGAAGGACAGATCCACGAAGGGTTTTTTGTCATAAATATCAAACAAGTAGACATCAAGAGGAGAAGAAAAAAAAAAAAGATTGTGATGCCCTGAAGCCCAATCTGTGAGAATCTTGTTAGCTCCCTGCAAGCCAAAGCTTTGAAACTCACCCTCAAGATAAACCAAGAGGAGAAGACGAATACTATTATTGACCACCACCTACCAACGAAATAGATCTCCTTCTCCTTTTACCAAGAAGCCAAGCCATCATATTGATCTGCTCCTAATGGAAGCCAAAAGAAGAACAGAGAGGAAGAAAACATGGGAAGCCATAAATATAAAGCTTACCCAAACCCGAGTGGCGAGTCAGAGAAATCAGAATTCTTTCTCACATGGCTACCAATATAATAAAGAGAAAGAGGTATTTTAAAAAGGTTCCTATACGGAGTACCTTCACAAACCTGTCTTCCCGTTTTCTTTTGTTCTTTCTTCAATGCTACTGCACTCTTCTGCACGTCTTCTTGTTCTTCTTCTGCTTATTCTTTTATCAAAGCAGTTGGGAAGATGAGCAAGTACGAAGAATCCAAATTTCTCTTCAAGAAGAGGGTTCCATGGATGAGAGATTATGGCTCTGCCGTGACCATGCGGCCATGGGGAAGAAGGATTGGAGGGATCCTCTACTCTGTTTAGCTTTTCTGGTTCGCTCTTCTGTTTTGGCCGATTTTACTTTGCTTGCTATTTTTAAGAGACCGTGAGGTCAGGATTTAGGTCCAATGCTGAAACAGTATACTCGCTGGTACTGGGATCGGAACCTCCTTCAATTTTGGGCCGCTTTCTCGAATTTTTTTTTTTCCTCACCTAAACCATGAAAAAAAAAACATGATTTTTCATGGTTTTTTACTTTTTTTAATCTGAAAAGATTTTTTAATTTTATCTCAACTTCTTAGAAAATTCAAACTTATATCCGTTATATTCGACGTATTGAATACATGTGCAATCTATTTTTTTATTCAATGAAATTTTTTCAAATGACAAAACTTTTATAAGGGATAATCTTTCTGGCTTATAAAAACCTAAAAATAAAACTACATGTAAGAAAATAAAACTACATAATTGAAAATTTTGTTTATTTATTTTTGCTATGAAAATTTGGGGCCGAAGCCCATATCTATTAAGAAAAGTAAAATTACATTGTGTAAAAAATAAATGTAAATTCTCAAGAGCTAGACACAACAAAACGTGCAGCAAAGGAAAGAATCAAAGCAGTAGATGTTGCTAAAAATAAAAACCTACTAAAGCTATGAAAAAGAAAAGAAAATAACAAAATTGGCAAAGAACAAAAGCACTCGGGATGCATAGCAGATTATGAACACCCAGGCATCAAAATCCCCTAGTTGCAAGAGCCGACTGTCCAAGGGGAGCAAAACATTAACTAGCATTCATCATCATCCTTCAAAACATCCATTCCTCTGGTTGCCAATAGAGACCATCCAGGGTTTAAAAACCAGCCCAATTGATCTTGAAATAATCCTCCAACCAAAAACCACTCCAAATGATCTTAAAATAAACCTCTAGCCAGTCGAACTATCATCATAATCGTAGATCCAGAGAATTCAAGACCACCCAAGAAGCTCAAATAAGCAAATGTTGAAAAAGATGAAAGCTTTTCCATTTTGAAGTTTTATAATAAACATCCCTGTTGATTTTAGTAGCAGTGCTAACATGGCAATCAAAAGCATTGCCAAAATAATATATCATTTATAGCTCTCCAAATATAGTAAATAGTGGCACATAATTGTACATTTTCATATGTTTACTACTATCCCACTCCTCAATCATGTTAAAGGCTTGTGAAAGGTTGGGGTGTAAAAGCATACATTCCATGAGAGGGAAAAGTTTCTTTAGAATAGCAAAGGTGTAGTCGCATTAAAAAAAAAAGTGCAAGTGAGTTCCCAAGCATTAAAGCAGAAACCGCAATTTGTAGAAGCAGAAATTCCCCTCAAAATCTAAGCATATGCAGTTTTCAACTCATGTTTGAAAGTCATCCAAGTAAAATCAGAAAAACACAAAGCATAGCCTTTGTGCCACATAAAATTATGCCAATTCACAAAAGAGGAATCAGAGTAGAATTGCATCTTGAAGGTGCTGAAATAGAGCTTATCAGAATTGAGCCACAGGCAAGTCATTCTAGTATCAGAGATAGGAACATAAGAGATAATAGAGGTTAGGGGAGTGGGGAGGTTGGGAGGGAGGAACCAACTAGAAAATACTATACCTTTTGAAGGACAATAATAATATTCTATAATATATTAAGAAAATAGAGCTTTAAAAAAATTACATTATATTATAAGGTATATATTATCTATAAAAGTAAACACTTATGATTGATTATATTCTAAGAGTGTTGCATATATCTAAACATATCTCAGGCCTTCAAATGTGATGAGCCTATATCATCGTTCAAAACACCAACATAGTAAGCTAATACCCCGAGCCTTGAAATGCATCTTTCTTGGATATAGTATTCATAAAAATGAGATTGGTGCTTTAATACCCCTACTAAATGTATGTTTATCATGATGGATATTATCTTTCACGAAGATGTTATGTATTTTTCTCTGTCTAAAATTTAGAGGAATTTTATGAAAATTCATACTATTGTTTATATTTTTATGAAGATGATATAGAAATATCATAATAAAATGAGGGTGATTTGGATCCTAATTTGAAAATTTTGGATTTAAGTGGTGAGATCTTACATAATAACACAACAAGTGGAGAGGAAGTGAGTTGGAATATGGTAATCAAAACTTGGATCTAAATGATTGTAATACATGTTGAAGCAACACACAGTTATACAGATATTGTCACAAGACTCATAACCCAATCCGAAAAGACCAACTAATGAAACAAGTCTTATCGTGTTAAGCTGTAATAAGCGAAGCCCTAGAATTAATTTTAAAAATTTTTCATATTTCATCTTCTAATTTATACCATTAAAACAACAATGAACACATAACTAATAATAACGTATAGTTCTAAAAATAAACTCATCCAGAAGATTTGCATTTCATTTATCATCAAAATTCCATATATAATCACATGGCATGGCTATAAAGAAAATCTATAGAACTGAATGATAAAACTAGCCATGTTATACAAAAATCAAAAGAAGAAGTACTCATAAACACATATTAGATTTGTAAAACTACTACTCAATTGGATTCTTCCCTTTTCTAGACCCTAAAAATAGAATGCAAAATCATAGTAAGCTAAAACAGCTTAGCATACCATATTTCAACCAATCTAAATTTTCAAATCATTTCATTTATTAAATATTCACTGAGTATTAAAAGAAAAATTGAGCAGAAAATCAAATGTAATTATAAACAAAATACATAAGCACTTCATATTTCTCTTCCAATAGATAAAGTTCAATAACTATGACCCTTATACCTTTCAACACATAGAGTTCAATAACTTTGAGTAATGTACAAAGTTTAATAACTCTAAAAACAAATAAAGTTCAACAACTCTAAGTATCAGACAGAGTTCAATAACTTTGAAGCAAAATGTGCATATATCATATAAATAGAACGCCTTTCAGATTTTCATAGAATCAATCGTTTCAACTAAGTAAGCACGTATTTCAATGAAAACAATAAATAATGCATAAAATATACTTCAAAATTTGCTAAAATGTCATAATGGTGTGCAATAAAAAAACTATTAAATAAAAAAAAACATATTAAAAAATAGCCAAAATACCATAGATTGTGTCAAATACTATTTTAAGACTTTAATTATGCTACAAAATTATTTTTCAGAGTCAAAATTATTATCTACTCTATAAAAATTATAAAAATTTCAAAGCGCTAGTATAAAATTTCTAGAAAATATTTAAAATCTTCATTTATGTAATATATAAAAGGTTGCTCCATGAAAATTTTGTCAATGTAAAGTTATCACCATTTTTCGGTAACCAAAACAAAAATTTAATCAAAAAATTAAAAAGAATATTCTTATTTTTTAAAATTGAGATAGGCATAGTGTGATCTACCTAAATTTGGATAACTTTTATAACTGGGCCGACAACTAAAAAAGACTCGAAGCATCCCGAAACGGACTTTCTCTCTCCTCTCTTTTCACTTTTTTCTCTATTTCCTCTTTTTCCTCTCTATTAATGTATGAGATGAAATGCTATGAGATCTTTTATAATAAAAAATTAAAATGACGTATTGGTCATCACTCTAATTATTTAACTTTTAGTATAAAATCCTTTTATATCTTAAATTTTGGGGATCCAAAAAAAAAAAAAAATTAGTTAAGCAAGTCTAAAAATACTCTGATAAAATCAGTTTGAAAATCAGTTTGCAAAACGAACATCTAACGATCACAAAAATCTCACTTGAACTAATATATGTCAATTTCTTGAATATTTGCAGCAATGTAAAAAAATTAGTGCAAAATTAATATAATTAGAGCACAATAATATCTTTTTTATGATGAAGACTTTAAACATTGAAATACATTTATTCCTTAACATCCTAACATTATAAGCTAGGATCCTCTATGGTTTTTATCTATAACTAAGATTTAGAGGTACCTCAATATTTAAATATCTTTGGCAAATATTCTATTTCCAGAATCATATATCAATTTTCTCAAAAGCGACACGTAGAATATATTTCGAATCTTAGATATATGATATGATAACTATAACTTGTAGACAGCTTTTCTAATCAATTCAATAGCTTCAAAGGACATACCTTGGACTTAATTTTCCTTCCCTGCCAAACTTGCTAATGCCTTTCATCGGTCTGATCTTTATGTATATAAAATCTCATTACTGAAATTCTACAGCCCGATGTTTATCATCAAAATATTATCCTTGCCTATCATGTACAACTTTTAAATTATCTATAATTAAATAGATCTTTTCAGTAGCATCATCAATCAAGTCTTACCCAATCAAATGTCATTAACCCACCTCTGTCTAAGATAGTAGTGTACGACACTTCCTATAATATAGAGCTTCATATGGAGCCATATATATACTTGATTGAAAATTGTTATATTAAGCAAACTCGATCAAAAGAATGCGGTCTTTTCAACTGTCACCTAAATCGAAAATATAGAGTCTCAGAAGATCATTTAGTATCTGTATAGTTCTCTCAGATTATCCATTCGTCGATCTAAGGATAAACTATTATACTGAAATACAGTTTAGTACCCAAACTTTGTTGAATACCCCTCCATATTTTGGAGATAAACCAACCACCTCTTTCAGAAACTATAACATTCAGTGTCCCATGTAATTTAAGAATATACATATCTGTGTGTGTGTGTGTTTAGAATGAAATAAGTAGTCTTCATCATACCATAAACTATAACCCAAACAACATCATATCCATTTCTCAACTTGAAAAAACCCATAGCAAATTCATAGTCACCTCTTCCTATTTTCACTCAAAAATGGGCAAAATATGCAAAAAATATATAGTAAAATCCATAGCCACCTCTTATCATCAATCATTATCTTTAGTATGAACCACAATAAATTTTGATAAGAATCAACTTCTTTGAATGAGAAAGTTAGATCCTCAAAATGAGGTGAAAAAATCTTCCACCTTTGATCCAATCCACCCAATGGAGATAATCCCTTTTTAAGAGGAAGACCAAGGCCATTACAAGGATTATAAATCTTAAGTGTTACCCGCAAGCCTTCTTATGCAGGACAGTTTAGTACTCTTAATAGAGAATTATCAAT